TGGAGAGAAGGACTAGATCTGAATCAGGAAGATATACATACACATGCACTTTTTTTAACCCACAGATGCAGAATATATTGTTGTATGGATGCACATGACTTTTTTCCAACATTTTATTATGAAAATGTTCAAAATATAGGAAAGTTGAAAGACTTGTACATGGAACACCCATATACCTACCATCTAAATTATCCAATTAGTATTGTCACATTGCCTAATCACTGTGTAGCCATCTGTTGGTCTATATTATTGTCTTTGATGCACTTCAGAGTAAATTGCAAACGTCTTTACATTTCACCCCATGTCAGCATTATATCATTAGAGTTCAGTAGTTTTTATTTTTTTTTTCCCTTAAAGTAGATAATTTTTTAATCTGTCAAGGGAAAGGTTTCAGGAAACCTTTTCTTTGCTTGAAAGAGCTCAGTATAGGAGAGTGCAGTACAGCATGATATAATTAGATGAGATCAAGCTCTGGAGTCCCGTGAACAAACCGCCTGCCTGTTTGAATCCTGGGTCTGCCCCTCAGTACTGGCGATACCTGGCCCAAGTTCGTTTACCGTTCTGAGCCAGCATGTTTCATCTGTGAAAAAGGCTAGGATTGTTGTGAGGATTTAAGAAGACATAAAGTAGCCAGCACAGAGTAGGTGTTCGGCAAATTGGAGATCACTTCTCAGACTACTCCACGGCATGTGGGTGGCCCATAAGAAGTGACTGAAACCTCCAAAATGGTCTTTCTCCTTCAGAGCGCTCTGCTATTTGGTCCTGAAGCAGTACACAGAAGCAGTGAAGGACTGCACAGAAGCCCTCAAGCTGGATGGAAAGAACGTGAAGGCATTCTACAGACGGGCTCAAGCCCACAAAGCACTCAAGGTAAAAAAAAAAAAAAAAAAAAAATCCTGGCTAAAAGGTCCCAACATACCTACAGAGATTTATGCCAGTGGCACTGTTCATAGGGTATAGCCAAGCTGAGGCAATATCTGCAGCTTTAACTTCTCATCCTGAGCCCAGGATAACTCAGAGCAGGCCTGTGGGCTGGGGTTTGCAAACACTTTGCTGCCTCAGCAGCTATCCCCACCCCAGTCCGGGAACCTTCCCCACACTCCTGTCTTTTCTTCTATTAGGACTATAAATCCAGCTTTGCAGACATCAGCAACCTCCTACAGATTGAGCCTAGGAATGGTCCTGCACAGAAGTTGCGGCAGGAAGTGAAGCAGAACCTACACTAAAATCCCAACAGGGCAGCCGGAACCCCTCCCTGACCTTACCCAGAGAAGCCACGGGTCACCTGCTCTGTGCCCACTCCTGAAACCCAGCATGCCCCAAGTGAGCTCTGAAGCCCCCTTCTCAGCCCCTTGATGGCCTTCCACCCTGTAAGAGGCGTTGCTTGTTCAAATTAAGCTCAGTGTAGTCAAACACAGACATGGTGGTTGCGCCAGAAAGGTCCCCACTAGGGCTAAGCGTGAAGCTGAAGCCCTGTGTCCATTCCCCCAACCCAGCTAGCTGATCACACCAACAAATCCTCATCAGCAAAGCGTTTGGCTTTGTCCTGCCCAAGTGTGCTGCAGACTGAGTGCTGCCCTTGTAGCTTCCCCAGACCCCACCTCACTGCAGTCCATCTGAACAACCTGAGCTCCCGGGCAGGGGTGGGAGGAGGGGGATAAACCTAAGGCCCTGATCCAAAGCAGCCTGTTGAGCTGGTTCTCCAGGGCTGCAGTCTCTCCAGGTGTACAGCTGCTGTCCCTGCCCTGCCCTGTCCTGTCCTTTCCTTGCACAGTCTCCTGTGTCTGAGCCCCAGTGCCTTCTGTTCAGGCCCTGCTTTGGTGGGAAGGCGGAGCCCTGACCCTTGGACAGCTGTCCTTGACTCTGTGCTGCTGCCTTCCGCAGAGAGGCACCTAAGCTGATGAAAGAGCCCAGTGATTGTGGCCACTCCTCCTCAAGGTGGGAGTGGGAGAGAGGCCTCCTTGGTCAGTGTCCTGCTTTCTGGGCAGGGACTTGGCTTTTTGTTCCAACAGTGGCCTTCTCCGGGCTTCATAATTCTTTGTAATATGTTGAAGTTAATTTGAACTGACTGATTTTGTTGAATTGTGTTTAAGCTGTTGCATTAAAAGGCTTTGTTCTACATCAGTGTCTCCTGTGCTTTCATTTATGCCTTTTCAGCTTTGCACCTGGAACTTTGTAGTGATAATAAAAGCTATTGCTTACTGGGCATTCATTTGCTGAACAAATTTATTGACCTGTCTGCATGGGCCAGGCACTGTGAATAGTGCTAGGGAGACAGCAGTGAACAGACACAGCCCCTGTTCTCAGAGGGCTGGTAGTCCAGTGGGAAGCCAAGAAGTTACCACACATGTAAAATTGCAGCTTGCCTGAGTGTCGTGAAGCAGTCGTCAAAGTGATTTTCCTGCCCAAAAGGGGAAATTTGATGCAGTGGAGGTAAGGGGGTCCCTGAGTAAGTAAAGCTGGAATTGAGTTCCAAACAGGGAGGTTAACTAGTGAAGAGGGGAGGGAAAGCACCGTGGACAGAACGGCATGTGGAAGGCCCTCACTGGGAGCACGGCCAGTGAGTACAGGGACCTGAAAGGGCCGATGAAATTCACAAAACATGGTATGGGGTGAGGCTGGCGAGTGCTTTACGATCTAGCTAGCATCAAGGGCTGCCTCCCTTTCGTGGGCTGGTTTTCACCTTATGGAAGTGGAGTTTTAGGATTCCACAGAGCAGAGCAGACAAAGGGGTCTGATCATCCCTTGGCTCCCATCACACAGTGCTAAGCAGCATTCGGTGTTAAGCATACCACCTCTGAGCGAGCTCTCTTGATGAGTCTTGTCTGAGCCATCACAGACACCCAGGCTGAAGCAGAGTTAGACAAACCCCATCGGCATAGTCAAGGGACAGTTTCAGAGTGGGGCACTGTACCCCTTTATTGTCTCATAAGCAGGCAGGACTGATGTGAGGTAGGTTTCATGACATCCAGTCACAACTGATTTACATCATCCTGAGCTCTAGAAGGCAAGCAACTTGATTTGCTAGTAAAGACGCAGAGGGTAGGGCTGGCACAACCCAAAGAGGCTACTCGTTTTGTACTTCAGAAATTTCTGATGAACACAACGTGATAAGCTTCCTCATCCCCATCACTCATCTTTGAAAGTTAACATCATTCAGTCTTTTCCAGAGAGGCTTTGAGGAATAAAACTTCTGCTTCTCATAGGTTAATGTTTCTAGGAGAGGGACACACAGCTATCAATGTGACTGTCTTAAAGGTTGTGATGGAATTCTACCCCCACTCCCAGAGAAGGTCAAACACCGTTACGTGGGAATGACAGGGCAGAGAGCAGATCATGCGGGGTCTCCTAGGCTGTGTAAAGTGGTCCTTATTCTAATGGTGGGAAGCTACTGCAGGATTTATGCAAGGATGATACATTAGAGAGGCATTTTGAAAGAAGCCTTAGGACTGCATGGTGGAGGACAGACTGCGGGAGGGCCAGGGTAGATGCAGTTAACCAGTGGAAGGTAGTGAGTGCAGGGGTTGAGCTTAGCTCAAATTAGTGGATTTATTCCACTAGGTAGTGGAAGTGGATTTCGATTTGGTAGGAGGTCATGTTGGTGGATTTTCTCTGGAAGATGGGAGGAGAGAAAGTGGTATGGCAGCAGGGCTGGGGAAACCCTCCGATTTTAGCTTTTGCAACAGAATGGTGGGGCCATTTGTGGAGACAGAACACTGGAAGAGAGAATCAGAGAATAAGGCCAGGCACGGTGGCTCATGCCTGTAAACCCCACCCGAGGCAGGTGGATCACCTGAGGTCAGGAGTTCGAGATCAGCCTGACCAATATGGTGAAACTTCATCTCTACTAAAAATATAAAAATTAGCCAGGTGTGATGGTGGGCACCTGTAGTCCCAGCTACTCTGGAGGCTGAGGCAGAAGAATTGCTTGAACCCAGGAGGCAGAGGTCACTGCAGTGAGCAGCGATCGCGTTACTACACTCCAGCCTGGGTGACAGAGTGAGACTCCATCTCAAATTAAAAAAAAAAAAAAAAAGAGGACTTAGTTAAATCATATGCTTGATTTTATACATGAATGTTACCAAGATAACCAGGAGCTGATGGCAGGGAGGTGGTGGAATGTGAGAAAGGTGACTCAGTTGCTCTTAAGAGTTGACTGGGCTGAAGATAAAAACGGGGAGTCATCCTAGACTAGGTGCAAATTGAAGATGTGCTTGTAAATTAGATAGCTCAGGAGAACATGGCATGAGAAAAGGAGAGAGCCCAGGACTGAGACTAAAGAAAGACTCTGAGCAGTCAGCATTTGGGGAGAAGACGATGGATCTGCACAGGGAACAGATTAAAAGCAGCCAGAGAAGTAGGCAGGGTGTGGCGAAGACAGGTTGGAGGTCTGTGGAGTGGAGAACAGGAAGAGTGAGGAGCTGAGAGTGGCAGAGCAGCCTTGGGGACTCAGTCAGATTTGTTGCTGGTGAATTTTTAGCAGAACCCAGTCTGCTTGGGTCATAGTAGAAGCTTTCATTTGGCTGCTCAGGTACAGGAGAGGGCAAAGACTTGACCGTACGTCCCTGTTGGAAGCTGAGCACTAACTGACCCGAAGAAGCTTTGAGAGACTTCCCCATTTCCAGGGGAGGAAAATCCCGACCTGGGAAGGTATCCTAAAGCGTTCCTACAAGGGTTAATTATGTTACACAACCCCTTAGCCAGCCTGGAGCCGAGAAGCAGCTGGGTGTTTGCCCTGCGGGGTGCCCAAGCCAGGGGCTCCATGCACATCAGATGGAGGCCCCTGTAGCTCTGGTCCATTGTGTGATATTCATATTGTCATCCACTGCACTGTTGACGGGTCAGTTCCTGACACTTCTCCTGCTCTTGTGTATATGCCCTCTGTGTACTTCAGCACTTCTTTATGGTTTCTGTTTCTCAGAGCCAGAGCCCCACCCCAGTCATGTCTACCCTTTGCTCTGTCCCCACCTCCCTCAGACACAAAAGGGTGGGAGGCAAGGCAGATTTTGCAGCACTTTTAATACACAAAGCAAAAGGTAATAGGCTGGATGGGTGACCAACCTTCATTCAGATACAGAGCCCAAGTATAGATACAGACTCATTGGGAAATAAGTTAGAGTTTGCAGGGCCTTAGGACTGAGAGCCAGAAACACTGTCCTTTTGGCAGCCATGGAAGTGAGGATTTCCTTTTCTGAGGACAAAAAGGTAAAAGTAAGTGTTTTAAAGTATGGTGGACACCCAGTCTTCAATAAAGAAGGTGGTTTCATCCCGGTCATGCCTTCGGGCAGGCAGAATGGAGCCAGGCATGGCCCCAGGAAAGCCCAACCTATTCTGCATGAAGCCAAACAGGGCAGCTGGCAAGAGGGCACCTCCTTCACCCTCCACCACCCCCCATTCTGATCACAGTTAATCATCTCCTCTGATTCTCACGACTTCCTCCAAACTCCTAGGTGATTCAGAGAAAGCCAGGGACACAGCACAATTCTCAGTGTGTTTGTGAAAGTCCCTGCCTAGTTCCTTACAGCTTCTCCCGGGCTCAGCTGCTCCTGTCACCGTTCCACCCACCTGGTTTCAGTGCATGTACGCCTTCGGCTGCTCCATAGCCTGGTGTGCCTGCAGCACGGCCACTGCCTCGTCTATCTGTGGGACATGAGTGGGAAAGGCTTAGTGCAGCTGCCCCAGCAGGTCCCAGGAGAGCCTTGACCTCCCCCTGGCTCAGCATCCTGGATACAGGATCCTCCTCCATCCACAGTGTTTCTGTGGAACCCTCCCTCCACCACTGCTTGCAAGATCCCATGGCCCTGTCTGTCACCTTTGACACAGCGGTACACTGCTGGACAGCTGGAAAAATCTTAGCCCTTACACTGATTCAGAACACACTTCCTTGTACCAAAACCCTACCTATGGAACAACACAGAGTTAGTCCACGGAGGTGCAAAGTAGCAAACCCTTACCTAAGCCCCCCCTCTACTCTAAGATTCAGCAGGCCTTCAAGTGTCAGCAAGAAGAAACACTTTATCTGGCCAAACAGCTGCCCATTAGCTCCACTAGGAGAACCCTTGCCCTTAGCTCTGCTCCTGCCCCCTCGGGCTCCCTGCTGCCCAGGTTCCTGCTTACCTTGGCATGGAGGGACTCTGGAGACTCCAGCATGAGCAACAGCTCCGAGTTGTCAATCTCCAGCAGCATGCCCGTGATCTTGCCGGCCAGCTGGGTGTGGACATCATGGATAAGGGGGTAGAGACGCTCCCCTGTGTGGAACACCCTCTAATGGCTTGTGCACCTGCCTGGCTCACATCCCAGCATCCCAGGGCTGGTATGGAGTGGAGCACTGAGGACATCTGGGTTCTTCTCCCAGAACTGCTCCTTCCAGGCTGTGACATTTAACACCTGATCTAACATCAGGTACTTCTAATGACAGGGCCTGGTATTGGCGGTCAGCCTGTCTCAGCCGTGTGCAGGGCCCGGCAAGGATGGGGTGCCTCTTAATTAAGGCAGAAAGGGCGGAAGGGGTCTTCCCATGAAGAAAGTGAAGATGTTTACAGAGAACTAGTAACAAAGCCTTCTACTTCCATTAAGTTCATTTAAAAGTTTTCCGGGTAAGGCCAGGCACAGTGGCTCACACCTGTAATCACAGTACTTTGGGAGGCCGAGGCGGGCGGATCACCTGAGGTCAAGAGTTCGAGACCAGCCTGGACAACATGGTGAAACCCCATCTCTACTAAAAATACAAAAATTATCTAGGTATGGTGGCACGTGCCTGTAATCCCAGCTACTCGGGAGGCTGAGGCAGGAGAATCACTTGAACTTGGGAGGCAGAGGTTGCAGTGAGCTGAGATCGTGCCACTGTACTCCAGCCTGGGTGACAGAGCCAGACTCCAAAAAAAAAAAAAAAAATTCAGGGTGAGGGGAAGGGGGTAATGTGGCAAAACGCTAAGTAAGCTGAAGAAACAATGGGGCGGTGGTAATGGGGGCGTTCAGTGAAGGGTCTGGAGGTCTTGGTGGCCATGCAGTAAAGAACCTGCCAACTAGGAACAAGCTTGTGTTCACTTAGTGACATTTTTATCAGGGCCTGCCATGGACACTGGGGTGGAGATGAATTGCACAAGGAATCCAGAATCTACAGGGAACATCACGTATTTACCAAATGCACCAATGCCCCACCTGCCTGCATTGAGCACTAGGAAACGTGAACAGCAGCTTCCTCCCATTCAGGAAAGGGGTGACGAACTTTAACCCCCACCTACAGGCCATTTCTCAGTAGAAATCCAAGACCATACCCCTACTCCTCCCTTCTGTCCCCTGATCTGCCTACATCTGGAGTGTCTCCCAACCTCAAAGTCACAGGATAGCAGCGCTGGAAGTTCTGGACCTCAGGACCATCTAGTCTGACCAGGGTTTTAAGACAAGAGAATAGGTGCCTGAAGAACAGAGGTAGCTTGGCCACGGTCACCCACTAGTGGGGGGCGCAGTGACAACACTGGACTTTGACCTCACGTTGGACCGCCACTCAGGGTGTTTCCCAGCAGGCTAGCCAGCTCATAGCCTTCCTCTTCTTGCTCCAGAGTAGGAGAACCAGCCACTCACCAATCATCTGTTTTTGCTCATGCAGGGGTGCCGCAGCCAGCATGGATGCGGTCAGGGGCTCCTGTCCCGGGACGTGCACAGCCGGCTCCTGGATCTGCATGGTGCCAGGGACACATCCCTTAATCACCATGGATAGGCATGCCCTCAAAACACTTACCCTGGGCCGGTCGTGGTGGCTCACACCTGTAATCCCAGCACTTTGGGAGGCCGAGCCAGGCAGATCACAAGGTCAGGAGATCGAGACCATCCTGGCTAACACGGTGAAACCCCAACTCTACTAAAAACACAAAAACTTAGCCGGGCGTGGTGGCATGCACCTGTGGTCCCAGCTACTCGGCAGGCTGAGGCAGGAGAATGGCTTGAACCTGGGAGGTGGAGCTTGCAGTGAGCCGAGATCGCGCCACTGCACTCCAGCTTGGGCGACAGAGCGAGACCCCGTCTCAAAAAAAAAAAAAACGAAGAAAAAAACCCACTTACCCTGGCAAGTGAACAGAAGGCCAGGGAGGCACTGGAGGAGGGAAACAGTGGGCAAGGTCTGGATGATCAGGTAGGGTGCAGAGTCCCCAGCAAGGGCAAAGCGGATTAGAAGACGAAGTCATGCCGCTAGCTTAGACATTTCTGGTAGTGCTATGAACTTATAAAGGTCCCTGACAAACGTTGATAAATGAAAGCCCTGTGTTACTAATAACTTTGTGCCAAATAAAGCACTTTTTATCAAGTAGCTTTATGGACATGTCCCCAGCACACTTCTCACCCTTTCACATCTTCGTAATTTTAACACATTTTTGGCTGGGTGTGGTGGCTCACACTTATAATCCTAGAACTTTGGAAAGCCAAAGTGGGAGGATCGCTTGAGGCCAGGAGTTTGAGATCAACGGTGGCAACATAATGAGACCCCTGTCTCTACAAAAAATACACAAAATTAGCCAGGCCTGGTGTCATACGCCTGTACGTGGAGGCTGAAGTGGGAGGATCACTTGAGCCTAGGAGCTTGAGGCTGCAGTGAGCTATAATCACACCACTGCACTCTAACCTGGGTGCTGTCAAAAAAAAAAAAAAAAAAAGGCCCTTCTCATTCATTTTCCAAGAAGTAGTTCAAACTAGACACATTGAAATTCTACACAGGATATGATAATGCTGAAATTTAGACCTTTCTTAGGGCAGGTAGATAAATATATAGTCTTTGATTAGAGTAGATAGATTCTGTTTTGAAGATTAAGTACATCCCTTCAATAATCACCATATTCTTAGAATACCTTTCCTTGGTGTTCATGACAAACACTAAGGACATCCAAATTAATTTTGGTAATAACCGAGGCAAAACAGATTGTAAATAAAACAGGATGCTGGCCCTCTTTCCCCTTCTCGCAGTAAGGGTGATCTCTTACTGATTGTACACATTAATAAACGAAACTTTACAAGCCAAGGAAAGAAAAAAAGCCATGGCCCAACGCCTTAGCTAAGGTTCTGAGCCAGGCGGGTAGGAGCCCAGGCTAAGAGCAGGCAGCTGGGCTGGCCTTACCCGATAGGTGCTATGTGCTGCTGAGGAACATTTGTACGGCAGGAGAGGCCGGCCTGGTGTACAGCATCCTACCCCACCGGGTCCTGTGGTCTGAGTACCAATGTTGGCTGCAAAAAAAATTAAAAAAAAAAACAGAGTTCAAACAGCTGCTATCCAAAAACGAAACAAAACAAAACCAAAACAGAAAATAACAAGCGTTGACAAGAATGTAAAGAAATTAGAACACTGTGCACTGTTGGTAGGAATGTAAAATGATGTAGCCACTACAGAAAAACAGTATAGGGCTTCCTCAAAGAGTTAAACAGAATTACCATATCATCCAGCAATTTCACCTCTGGGTATATACCCAAAAGAATTGAAAGCAGGGTTTCAAAGAGCTATTTGTACAAATATTTTCTTTTCTTTTCTTTTCTTTTTTTCTGAGACAGAGTCTTGCTCTGTCACCCAGGCTATAGTGCAGTAGTGTGATCTCAGCTCACTGCAACCTCCACCTCCTGGGTTCAATCCTCTTGTCTCAGCCTACCAAGTAGCTGGGATAACAAGCACATGCTACCACATCTGGCTAAGTTTTGCATTTTTAGTAGAAGCAGGGTTTCCCCATGTTGGTCAGGCTGGTCTCGAACTCCTGACCTCATGACCCACCCACCTCGACCTCTCAAAGTGCTGGGATTACAGGCGTGAGCCACCATGCCCAGTCTATATATATATCTTATACAATTTTTATATATAAAAATACACATTAAGTGTGAATATACTTAATGCCATTGATCTGTACACTGAAAAATAGTTAAGTGGTAAATTTTGTTATATGTATTTACCACAATAAAAAGGAATAAGCAGGGGTGTCAGGGCCTGGCAGCAACCTAAGGCCAGGGATTGAGTATGCCTCGTTCACGCAGAACCTCCAGTGCTGAGCTTGGGGCCCCAGCACAGAGTGGATGTGAGAACATCTGCAGAATGAAAGAACAGACGCGCTTGCTGAACAGCCAAAATCTACACCCTTGTTTATAGTCACTGCAATACTTACCAGGCTTTAGGCCCAGCGCTAAGCCCTTGCATGCATGATCTCATTGATCCTCAACAACAAGCCGGACATGGTGGCTCATGCCTGTAATCCCAGCACTTTGGGAGGTGGAGGCCAGTGGATCACCTGAGGTCAGGAGTTTGAGACCAGCCTGGCCAACATGGTGAAACCCTGTCTCTACTAAAAATACAAAAATTAGCCAGGTACGGTGGTACGTGCCTGTAATCCCAGCTACTTGGGAGGCTGAGGCAGGAGAATTGCTTAGAACCCGGGAGGCAGAGGTTGCAGTGAGCCGAGATCACACCATTACACTCCAGCCTGGGCAATAGAACGAGATTTGATCTTACAAAAAAAAAAAAATTAAGGCTGGGCATGGTGGCTCATGCCTGTAATCTCAGCACTTTGGGAGTCCGAGGCAGGCGAATCCCCTGAGATCGGGAGTTCAAGACCAACCTGACCAACATGGAGAAACCCCGTTTCTACTAAAAACACAAAATTACCCAGGCATGGTGGTGCATGCCTACAATCCCAGCTACTTGGGAGGCTGAGGCAGGAGAATCACTTAAATCTGGGAGGCGAAGGTTGCAGTGAGCAGAGATCATGCCATTGCACTCCAGCCTGGGCAACAAGAATGAAACTCTGCCTCAAAAAAAAAAAAAAAAAAAAAAAATTTAAATTCTCTACAATAAAATGGGGGTACTATTTTTTTTATTTTTTTAGTTTTTTATTTTTTTTTTTGAGACGGAGTCTCGCTCTGTTGCCCAGGCTGGAGTGCAGTGGCCAGATCTCAGCTCACTGCAAGCTCCGCCTCCCAGGTTTACGCCATTCTCCTGCCTCAGCCTCCCGAGTAGCTGGGACTACAGGCGCCCACCACCTCGCCCGGCTAGTTTTTTGTATTTTTTAGTAGAGAGGGGGTTTCACCATGTTAGCCAGGATGGTCTTGATCTCCTGACCTCGTGATCCACCTGTCTCGGCCTCCCAAAGTGCTGGGATTACAGGCTTGAGCCACTGCGCCCGGCCGGGGGTACTATTTTTGTCCCCATTTTACAGATTAGGTGATCGGCTGTAGTAGTCAGCAGAGGCCTGAGTCAGCTGGTTCCAGGAACTGGAGGCCAAGCTAACTACCACGCTACAGTCTCCAAAGTTGGCCTTGTTCACCGAGAGGGCGTATGGCAAGGTCACCATGGAGGCTGGTCCTGACTCCTGGTGCCAACTTTGCCCCACCCCCATTCCCCTTGGCCCTACCCACACTCACCTACTCTCTGGGTATGAGGCACCATGCGTGGCACCTGGGTGGAGGCCTGCCTGACACTGCTGATGTGGGCTGGGGGGCGACGAGGCATGACTGGTGGCCGGACCATTGAGGCACCTGGAGGGTAGGCAGCTTGTGGTGCAGACACCACAGAGAGAAAAGTTGGATGGAATGGTGGGAATAATCAGGGTGGCACACAGTGCCTAGAGGCTTCCAGGGCCACCAAGAGAATGGGAAGGGAAACTACAACATTCATAACAGAAATAGGAGTCAATTCACTTAGACCCAGAACTCCAGAAAGGGGGAGTGTAGGAATCTACAATTTCAAATCCAGCTCGTGTCTACCCAGAGCCCCAAACTGCATAAGCACCATGATCGCACACCTTAGTCTCCAAGACAGTTTCAAGTGAGTGTGCATTTCACTCTTATAGAAGAGGGCCTTTGGTCAATAATATAGCCACAGGAGTTTCATCTTCTCAGCTTTGCAAGAATTTTCAGAGTCACAAATCGGAGGCGTCTTTGGCGATGACTGCTGGTGGCTAGCTGTGTGTCTTTCATTGGCTCACCACTGTGCTTGGTACTTTACACACATCTCATTCAGGCCCATGCTCAGAAGAGGAAACTGAGGCTCAGAGAAGTGAAGTCACCCACCCTGGAAAGTGGCAGAGCCAGGTTTCATCCCTGTGTTATGACTGCCTCATGGGGCCCACACCAATAGGCCAGTCAGAGTGGAAGGGGCTGGGTCACTCACAGGAAGGTCTAGGTGGCTGGGACGTCCACCTGGGAGCAGGCTGGGTGGGTGTCACCGGGCCACAGCCATAGTATGCAGCCTGGGCTGGAGGCTGCATGGGAAAAGAAGATCCAGACTGAGGGACTTGGCAGCAGGGTAGGTGAGAAGCTACAGCTCTTCAGGGACACCATGGCAGGAACTCCACTGGCTCCTGCAGGGACTGGTGAGTCAAGACCCACAAGGCTGAAATGAAAGTTCCTTCCTCTCATCTCAGGATGTCCATTAGCCCTGAATCCTCCAGGGCAAAGATCTTAGATTTCAATCTTGGCTCCTTGTCAGCTAGCCCAATGACCTGGATAAAAAGGGTGACATCTTACTCCAACTTGTGCCAGCTTAAGCAACTGCTAAAAGGAGAGGAATGTTCTCACCCTGGTGGCCTTTAATGGGTGACATCTTTCTACTTCCTCTAAGTCCCATGAGGTCCTTTCCCAAACCATGCTCCTCAGAACATTAACATCCAGGGGAGATGTTAACAGGCATCCCACAAAAAATGACCATCTAAGCTGGGGAAATGCTGGATAATCTGTGCCTGTTTTGGAGAGTCTCAGTAGAAATTGGCATCTTAGGGTAGAACAGTATAGACAGTAAAGAAATTTAGGTCATGGTGGCTCATGCCTGTAATCCCAGCACTTTGGGAGGCCAAGGAGGGCAGATCACTTGAGGTCAGGAGTTCAAGACCAGCCTGGCCAACATGGTGAAACCCTGTCTCTACTAAAAACACAAAACATTAGCCTCGTGTGGTGGCACGCACCTGTAATTCCAGCTACCTGGGAGGCTGAGGCACAAGAATCACTTAAACCCAGGAGGCAGAGTGTGCAGCGAGCCAAGATGTTGTCACTGTACTCCATTCTGGGCAACAGAGCAAGACTCTGTCTCAAAAAAAAAAAAAAAAATTAATTTAATTTTTTTAAAAATGTAGGGCGGAGCACAGTGGCTCACTCCTGTAATGCCAGCACTTTGGGAGGCCAAGGAAGGAGGATTGCTTGAGCCCAGGAGTTTGAGACCAGCCTGGGCAACATGGCGAGACCCCTTTCTTTAAAATAAACAAAAAATCAGCTGGGCATGGTGGCATGCACTTGTAGTCCCAGCTACTCAGGAGGCTAAAGTGGGAGGATCACTCAAGCCCAGAAATTCAAGGCTGCAGTGAGCCATGATCACGCCATTGCTCTCCAGCCTGGGTGACACGGAGATCCCGCCTCAAAAAAAAAAAAGAAAGAAAAATGTAGGTTTATTTTGCTGAACGCAACATTTCCCATACTTGCTGGATCATTGAGAGTCTTTTTCAGCACAACATTCACGAGCTTCTCTCACTGGGAAATGCCATTTGACTAACACTCTCTCTCCCTTTTATAGAGAGGAAAACAAAGACTTCCTCGTGAGTCCTCAGCAGAAGCAAGTTAGAAACCTCCGTTTCCCTAGAACTCTAGTCTTCACGCTCTGCCTGGCTGGGGCAGGGGGGAAGGCTGGGGAAGGCTGCGGTGGGAGTTGTGGGCAGGACGTCACCTGGGGCACGGCAGGCAGGAAGTAGCTGGAGGGCTGCTGAAAGGAGCCCAGGAGGGGGTTGCTCAGGGTCCGCATGGTGGAGAGGCGTTGCATGTACTGGTTGGTCAAGATGGCCTTCCGCTCCTCTTTGCGCTGGGCCAGTGCCACGTAGAGTGGCTTGGTGCCCACGATGCGCCCGTTCATCTCTGTCACAGCCTTTGTCGCCTCTTCTGGGGAGGAAAAACACACAAAGCCAAACCCCTTGCTGTGGCCACCCTCTGTCATCACCTAAAAGCAAGACAAGACAAGAGCTGCTGGGGTGGGGAAGGAAGGCTCCTGGGGCTGCGCTGCCTCCCTCCTCCCCACGGGCCAAGCCCAGCATGAGCAGCCCCGAGAGAAAGCTGTGATGGAGGGATGTAGCATGCACCCCTGTTTACTAAGCAGTGATAGAGGGATGTAATGTGCACCCGGTTTACTGAACTGTTTGAGGGATGTAGCGTGCACCCCCATCTATGAGGCCTGCTGCATGCCAGATACTTTACATGCCTTCACACCTCACACATACAATCTCCCGATGCGGGAGGCATCGCGGCTCCCACTTTACAGCCGGGATAAGAGAGACTCAAAAGAGTGATTTCTCTGGGGTCACTCAGCTAGTGGTTCGTACGTTAGCCAGGACTCAACCCAACACACTGTTCTGGTAAACTTCTATTGCCTCTGCTAAGTACCAAGCCAAGTTCTTTAGGAATTTGAGAAAGAGGTTCTTAGCCTTTTTGTTAAAATAAACTTTTAACTTTGGAGTAACTTTAGATTTACAGAAAAAGTTACAAAAACAGTACAGAGGCTTTCTGTATATCTTTTTTTTTTTTTTTTTTTTTTTGAGACATAGTTTCACTCTGTCACCCAGGCTGGATTGGAGCGGCGCAATCTCGGCTAACTGCAACCTCAGCCTCCCGGGTTCAAGCAATTCTCCTGCCTTAACCTCCTGGATAGATGGGACTACAGGCATGTGCCACCACACCTGGCTAATTTTTTATTTTTAGTAGAAAGAAGGTTTCACCATGTTGGCCAGGCTGGTCTCAAACTCTCGACCTCAAGAGATCTGCCTGCCTCAGCCTCCAAAAGTGCTGGGATTATAGGCGTCAGCCACCATGCCTGGCCTGCTGTATTATCTTTCACCCAGCTTCCCCCAATGTGAACATGGTACATTTTTCAGAACTACAAAATTAACACTGGTGCAATGCTATTAACTATTTTATACCATTAGCTCCTATTAACTACAATGCTATTAACTGAACTCCAGACTTCATTGGAATTTCACTCTTTTTTCCCCTAATATTCTTTTTCTCTTCCAGGACCCAACCCACATGGCATTTAGGGTTTGTCTTTTTTTTTTTTTTTTTTTTTTAAAGAGATGGGGTCTCACTCTGTCATCCAGGCTGGAGTACAGTGGTACGATCATAGCTCACTGCAGCCTCAAACTCCTGGGCTCCAGGGATCCTCCTGCCTTAGCCTCCCAAGTAGTTAGGGCTATAGGTACACGCCACCACATCCAGCTAATATTTTTTTTAAGTTTGTAGAGATCGGCAATCACTATGTTGCCCAGGCTGGTCTCAAGAGATCCTCCTGCCTAGGTCTCCCAAGGTGCAGGGATTACAGGCAGGAGCCACCACACCTGACCCTGGGTTTTTAACCTTTTTTGGGGTCAAAACACTGGCCTGGCTCACACATCCCATAAGGACTAGAGTTATTTTTTAAATCCTCTTTTTTTCTTTTTTCTTTTTTTGCCTTTGAGTCAGGATCTCACTCTGTCACTCAGGCTGCAGTACCGTGGTACAATCTCAACTGCAGCCTCGACCTCCCAGGCTCAAGTGATCCTCTCACCTCAGTCTCCCGAGTAGCTGGGACTGCAGGCATGCCCCACCATGCCTAATTTTGTTCATTTTTTGTAAACATGAGGTCTCATCCTGTTGCCCAGGCTGGGCTTGAACTGCTGGAGAGCCCATGCTCTTAATCAGTAATTTTCAAACTGTACTCTGCGACCCTTCAGTGTAGGGGTCTTAACCTGAGAGTCCATGGATCCCCCTCAGGGAGGTCATGGATATAATTTAGGGGGTCTGTGAACCTGGACTGGGGAAAAAGTGACATATTTTCACATTAGCATTCCCTTCTATTATGAATATGGGCAACAACAAAAAAGTCCTGGCAGTATTAGCCATGAATTTGCCATGAAGAAAAAGAAAATATTTTCATAGCACATTAATTATTGCTAATCTTGGCTGAGCGCAATGGCTTATGCCTGTAATCCCAGCACTTTGGGAGACCGAGGTGGGCAGATCGCCTGAGGTCAGGAGTTCGAGACCAGCCTGGCCAACATGGTGAAATCCTATCTCTACTAAAAATATACAAAAATCATCTGGTTATGGTGGCGGGTGCCTGTAATCTCAGCTACCCAGGAGGTTGAGGCAGAACCCGGGTTCTTGAACCTGGGAGGCAGAGGTTGTAGTGAGCCGAGATCATGCCACTGCACTCCAGTCTAGGTGACAGAGCAGGATTTCGTCACAAAAAAATAAAAATAATAATAATAAAAGAAGCACATACTGCTCTCACTTTAGTAATCTATTATATTTTTTCAATATAATTTTTTTTGTAAGCCTAAGAATCTTATTTTATGCATTTAAAAATATTCTTAGGGCCAGATTTGGTGGCTCATGCCTATTTTTGGGAAGCTGAGGTGGAAGAATTGCTTGAGCCCAGGGGTTTGAGATCATCCTGGGCAATACAAAAAATAATTAGCCAGGCATAGTGGTGCTCCTATAGTCTCAGCTACTTGGGAGACTGGGACAGGAGATCACTTGAGGCCAGGAGTTGGAGGCTGCAGTGAGCTGTGATGGCACCACTGCATTCCAGCCCGGGCGATAGAGTGAGACTCTGTCTCAAAAAAGTTTTTAAAAATTATTCTTAGAAGGGGTCCACAGGCTTCATCAGACAGCCAAAGGGCCGGGTGCGGCTCACGCCTGTAATCCCAGCACTTTGGGAGGCTGAGGCGGGTGGATCACCTGAGGTCAAGAGTTTGAGACCAGCCTGGCCAAAATAGTGAAACCTCTGTCCCTACTACAAATACAAAAAAATTAGCTGGGCATGGTGGCGGGTGCCTGTAATCCCAGCTACTCAGGAGGCTGAAACAGGAGAATCACTTGAACCCAGGAGGCGAAGGTTACAGTGAGCCAAGATTGCACCATTGCACTCCAGGCTGGGCAACAAGAGCAAAACTCCATCTCAAATATACATATGTGTGTGTGTGTGTGTATATATATATATAGTGTGTGTGTGTGTATAAATGTGTATGTGTGTATATATATATATTTAAGAACTTCTGGCAGTCGTTAGTTAATAATGATAAAATTTAGCAAAGCTAACACTTATTCAGAGCTTACCATGAACTTGATAGTGGTATAAGTATTTATATCCATTAATTCCTTTAATTTTCATAATTATTTTTATATAAAACAATATAGGGCAGATGCAGTGGCTCATGCCTGTAATCCCAGCACTTTGGGAGGCTGAGGTAGGAGGACTGCTTGAGCCCAGGAGTTCAAGACAAGCCTGGGCAACATAGCAAGACCCCATCTCTACCAAAATAAATTTTTTAAAAATCAGTTGGGCATGGTGGCACATGCCTGTGGTCCCAGCTACTTGGGAGGCTCAGGTGGGAGGATCACTTGAGCCCAGGAGGTTGAGGCTGCAGCATGCCATGATCACACCACAGCACTCCAGCCTGGGCAAATAATAAGAACCTGTCTCTCATAAAAATAATAATAAACCAAAATATATAAAAGTGTATAAGATGGGCCAGGTGCGGTGGCTCACGCCTATAATCTCAGCACTTTGGGAGGCCAAGGCGGGCAGATCACCTGAGGTCAGGAGTTCAAGACCAGCCTGGCCAACATGGTGAAACCTCATCTCTACTAAAAATATAAAAATTAGTAGGGCTTGGTGATGGGTGCCTGTAATCTCAGCTACTTAGAAGGCTGAGGCAGGAGAATTGCTTGAACCTGGGAGGCAGAAGTTGCAGTGAGCCAAGATCGTGCCATTGCACTACAGCCCGGGCAACAAGAAGGAAACTCCGTCTCGAAAAATAAAAATAAAAATTGTATAAGATATATATATAGGCTGGGCGTGGTGGCTCATGCTTGTAATCCCAGCACTTTGGGAGGCTGAGGCGGGCGGATCACAAGATCAGGAGTTTGAGACCAGCCTGGCCAACACAGTGAAACCCCATCTCTACTAAAGATACAAAAATTAGCTGGGCTTGGTGGAAGGCGCCTGTAATCCCAGCTACTCGGGAGGCTGAGGCAGAATAATCACTTGAACCCGGGAGGCAGAGGTTGTAGTGAGCCGAGATTGCACCACTGCACTCCAGCCTGGGTGACAGAGCTAGACTCCATCACATACACAAAAAAAAGATATATATATATAATCCCCATTTCATACAATTTGTCTTGTTAAAAAGATGGTCACCCCAGGTGTGCCTTAACTCTAAGCAATCCAAATTTACACATTTCCTTTGTTCCAGGAGTCCTCAAGAAGGTCCATCTCCGGACGCTGTATGTAAGGTGTATGATGACTAATTACAACAGTCACTATTTCACTACTTATCGAATGCAGATGCTCTACATGCAGCCTCTTTAGTAGTTCTCAGGACACCTGGAGAGGTGAGCAATGTTGCTCCCACTTTATAGGTGAGTAAACAAGGTCCAAAAAGCAAAGCCATTTGCCTCAGATTCTACAGCTAGGTAATGGTAGGACTGGGGTTTACATTTAAATCTGATTAACTTTAAAATTCCATCTTTCAACCATGTTACTACATCAAATGTGTATGCATTTGCTGGGAAAGAGGACCTATAGATTTTTATGATGTGTAATCAAATTTACTGATGCCTAATTTACATGTGCCATAGCCTTCTCTCACATTTTTCAAAAGGATGTTAACCTAAAAGACAACCTTTTTTGCTCCAAACACAAGGCTCCCTGAAGAATGTTTATAATTGGACTCAATAGCCAAAAGAGAACTTCTAGACCACTTCCTCAGAACCCAAGCATCACATCACTCAGGCGGGTCCCCCCATCCTGTCACTCACACAGATCTCTTTGGAAAATTCCTCATTCCTACTCCAGCTCCCTACCTCCTCATAGCCAAGTCAAACACTGCTGCTACTGCCCCTCCTTCCAGGCAGCCCTCCCTCCTGTTCCACTGAACTCCTGTAGCTCTGCCTCCCATACTGTCCCCATCTTACAATCCATTTGAGTTAGTGATGGGCTGACTTCCTCACCGGACTATAAGCTACTCAAAAGCTACTCGAAAGCAAGGATCACATCTGATTTGTTCCTGTTTCCCACAGAGCCTGGTAAAACAACAGGTATTTAAGTATAGTACAGAATGAATAAACACTAGATCATCTTAAAACCATCTGGGCGCTTTTTTTTTTTTTCCTTTTTTTTTTTTTTTTGAGATGGAGTCTAGCTCTGTCGCCCAGGCTGGAGTGCAGTGGCGCCATCTCAGCTCACTGCAAGCTCCACCTCCCGGGTTCACGCCATTCTCCCGCCTCAGCCTCCGGAGTAGCTGGACCAACAGGCGCCTGCCACCATGCCCAGCTAATTTTTTGTATTTTTAGTTGAGATGGGGTTTCACCGTGTTAGGATGGTCTCGATCTCCTGACCTCGTGATTCACCCACTTTGGCCTCCCAAAGTGCTGGGATTACAGGCGTGAGCTACCGCGCCCGGCCTCTGGGAGCTTTAAAAAACAAACAAAAAAAGCCCGGGCCCTACACCCCAGGGAGCCACAGTCCATGCCTGACTCAGGTGTATATATTTAAGAATTGCCCAGGGGGTTGTAATGAGAAGCCAGGGTCGAAAGCCATCCACTGAGCCCAGTGTCCTTATCTATGAGACGACATCTGCTAAACTCACAGAGCTGCTGAGTAGATGGGCCAGTTGCCACATCTCAGGGGCCTAACAGGGTTGGGCATACAGTTGGTGCTCCAGAAATAGGCAAGAACAAACGAAGAACGACGAAGTTCAGCCCTCTCACTTTCCAGATGGGAAAACGGAGGCCCAGGAGTGTGATGTCACTGGCAGAGGCCAGACAACAAAAGTCAATGGAAATACTAAGATGTGAATTTCTGGAATCTGGCATACAGTAGGCACTCAATAAATGCCAAGGTTACAGTGAGCCCCAAGTCTAGCTGTGTGACTGGGACTATATTTCTACCCTCTTCCCCTTCAGCCCAGACAAGGCTGCGGATGGGCTACAAGTTCCAACGGGGTCAGCAGAGCCCCAGAAGGGGTAGCCGGCACCAACCCCGTGGAGGCCACTGGGCGAGAGGGCGGAGGGGTGAGGTTGCGGGGGATGGTGGTGAGAGGATGGAGGGGAACGCTGTCCTCCAGAGGTGCCCCCAGCCCTCACCTTCGCACTGGTAATTACTCCATAGGGAGAGAACTCTTTCCTCAGTTTGTCGTCATCAATGGAGTCGTCCAGGTTCTTCACGTACAAGTTCACACCCTGGAAGGAAAGGGAAACTGCCGAATGGCCTCTTCCCCTCCAACCCCAACTGCCTTGGGGAGATCAGGGGGCTGACACAGGCACAAGGGGCACGGGGAGCCCCACCAGCCCAGCCTCCTGCTCCCTGTCTCCCTCAGCACCCAGGTACCCCTATCCCTCAGCGTGCCCATCACATGCAAGCTGTAGCCCCACATCCCGAATTCCCCTGCAGTTCTCACACATCTGCGCTGGTCCCAGCCTCACCGCAGCTATTCCCCATTTCACAGATGGGGCCCACGAGGATGCCCCAGGTCCCATGGCAGGCTGAGGTGCAGAGCAAGCTCAAGCCGAGCTCTGCAGATGGTGGATATCGGGCAGCAGGAGGCAGAGCTTCTTGCAGGCTGGCCCATGACCAGACCCCTAACACAGGCGAGCTGCCCCTCCACTGCCTGCCAGCCCAGGAACCTCGGGCACTTACTCATGCTGGTGCCAGGTGCCACTTTAAGCTTTCCCATACATTTTGATTTTTTTTTTTAAGACTTTTTTTTTTAGGCAGATTTTTGCTCTTGTTGTCCAGGCTAGGTGTGATGGTGCAATCTCGGCTCACTGCAACCTCTGCCTCCTGCGTTCAAGTGATTCTTCTGCCTCAGTCTCCCAAGTAGCTGGGATTACAGGCATGTGCAACCAGGCCTAGCTAACTTTGTATTTTTTAGTAGAGACGGGTTTCTCCATGTTGGTCAGGCCAGTCTTGAACTCCTGACCTCAGGTGATCTGCCCACCTCAGCCTCCCAAAGTGCTGGGATTACAGGTGTGAGCCACCACACCAGGCCACATTTAGATTGTTAATCCTCACAACAACCCTGCTTGAAGGAAACTTTTATCCTTATTTTATGGACAAAACTGAAACACAAAGAGTTGCCCCAGATCGTATAGTGGCTAAGTGGCAGAGACTGGACAACCCAGGCAGCCTAACTTCAGCATCTGTGTGCCTCACTGTTGAGTGACAGCTGCCTCTAACACCTTGACTTTTCTCCTTCCAGACCTCCCAAACACAACAGTGTGTGAACACACAGAGAGCAGAGACCACACAGTTGTACAGCATAGCATCCTGCTCTCACAGATCACGTAACAAGTATTTTGTTCTGTGGGTCTGTAAGCACCTGGACACGCTGTATGTACATAAGTGGATGTATGTGTTTCTCAGCCTCAGACCTAGTGACATTTTGTGCCAGACAGTTCCTTGCTGTGGCATTGTCCTGGGCACTGTAGGATGTCTGCCAGCATCCCTGGCCTCTACCCAGTGGATGACAGTAGCACCCCACCACCCACACGACAATGAAAATTCTAGACGTTGCCAAATGTCCCCCAGGAGGCAAAACTGCTCGTCACTGAGAACTACTGAGTATGTGTGCACAATTTTTTGTGGATGTGTATATTTATATGCCCTTCTCCATGAAGAATCTAGAACTTTTATCAAAAATCTTAGAGGGGGGCCAGGCACAGTGGCTCACGCCTGTAATCCCAGAACTTTGGGAGACCGAAGTGGGCAGATCATCTGAGGTCAGGAGTTCAAGACCAGCCTGGCCAACATGCTGAAACCCTATCTCTATTAAAAATACAAAAATGAGGCCAGGCGTGGTGGCTCACACCTGTAATCCCAGCACTTTGGGAGGCTGAGGCGGGCAGATCACAAGGTCAGGAATTCGAGACCAGCCTGGGCAACATGGTGAAACCCTGTTTCTACCAAAAATACATAAATTAGTCAGGCATGGTGGCATGCACCTGTAATTCCAGCTACTCAGGAGGCTGAGGCAGAAGAATTGCTTGAACCCAGGAGGCAGAGGCTGCAGTGAGCCAAGATCACACCACTGCACTCCAGCCTGAGTGACACAGCAAGACTCCATCTCAAAAAAACAAAACAAAAACAAAAACAAAACAAAACAAAAAAACAAAAATTAGCTGGGCATGGTGGCAGGTACCTGTAATCCCAGCTACTTGGGAGGCTGAGACAGGAGACTTTCTTGAACCCAGGAGGCAGAGGTTGCAGTGAACCGAGATCATGCACTACACTCCAGCCTGGGCAACAGAGCGAGACTCCGTCTCAAAAAAAAAAAAAAAAAAAAAATCTTTGAGGGTTTCACTTCCCAATGAAGTTTTAAATTGCACTGATCTACAATATTCACTTTAATTATTAACGCCATATAATCCAAAGGCTGTCCAACATTCCAACTTTTGGATGTGACATATTTGGCCTGATTATTCTCAACCAGGAGTAGGATTTCCTCTAGGGGCATTTGGCAATATGCGGGTTACTTTGGTTGTCTGAGACTAGAGGATGCAACTGGGATTGAGTGGGCCGGGTTGGATGCTAACCAGTCCCACATGAAGGATTATTCTAACCAAAAGGTCCCCAGCACCCCTACTAACCCCTATCATGGTTGGGCTGTGCCCAGTTTCTCACTGTTACAAATCAGGCAGTGGGGACCATCCCATGCTCGTTCGATTCCTGCCTTGAGCCAAATGCCCAGAAGTAGGATGACTAGAAGAAACAGTCACCACTCAGGGCCCCTGACACACAGCTGCTTTCACACAGAGTGGCTGCCACCAGGAAGCCTGATCTCACCTGGTAACGCCTCAGCCGGTCCTGCTTCATCTGCTCAAACCTGCGCTTCAGTTCATTCTGCCGCTCCACGCGCTTTTGGGCCCGGCCCGCGTACAGCAGCCGCCCACTCACCTCCTTCCCATTCATATGCACCACAGCCTGGGGAGAGGAGGAGGGAACATGATTGGTAACCACTTGGATGTGGCCCTGGCCCAGGCTCATCTTCTGGATCTAGAGAGGCCACCTGCAAACCGGACTGGCCACACTAGCCGAGAATAATCAGTACCAGGACAAAGGCCATTTAAGTATACCCACTTTGGCTCACGCCTGTAATTCCAGCACTTTGGGAGGCCAAGGGGAATGGATCACCTGAGGTCAGGATTTCAAGACCAGCCTGACCAACATGGAGAAATCCTATTTCTACTAAAAATACAAAATTAGCCAGGCATGGTGGCACATGCCTGTAATCCCAGGTACTCAGGAGGCTGAGGCAGGAGAATCGCTTGAACCTGGGAGGCAGAGGTTGTGGTGAGCCGAGATCGCACCATTGCTCTCCAGCCTGGGCAACAAGAGTGAAACTCCGTCTCAAAAAAAAAAAAAAAAAAAAATCGGACTGGGGCTGTATTTTAAAAAACAAAATTGATGGTCGGACACAGTGGCTCACACCTGGTAATCACAGCACTTTGGGTGGCCAAGATGGGTGGATCACTTGAGGTCAGGAGTTTGAAACCAGTCTGGCCAACTTGGTGAAACCCCATCTCTACTAAAAATATAAAAATTAGCCAGGCATGGTGGTGGGTGCCTGTAATCTCAGCTACTTAGGAGGCTGAGGCGGGAGAATCCCTTGAAACTGGGAGGCGGAGGTTGCAGCGAGCTGAGATCGCACCACTGCACTACAGCCTGGGCGATACAGTGAGACTCTGTCTTTTTTATTTATTTATTTTTTTTGAGACAGTTTCGCTCGGTCACCCTGGCTAGAGTGCAGTGGCACGATCTCGGCTCACTGCAAGCTCCACCTCCCGGGCTCACGCCATTCTCCTGCCTCAGCCTCCAGAGTAGCTGGGGCTATAGGTGCCTGCCACCGTGCCCGGCTAATTTTTTGTATTTTTAGCGGAGACAGAGTTTCACCATGTTAGCCAGGATGGTCTTGATCTCCTGACCTCGTGATCCACCCACCTTGGCCTCCCAAAGTGCTGGGATTACAGTCGTGAGCAACCATGCCCGGCCGACTCTGTCTTAATAAAATAAAAATAAAAATAAAATTGAGATTTGCAAAGTTTCCCATATTTAGAATGTAAATATGACCGGGCACGATGGCTCACGCCTGTAATCCCAGCACTTTGGGAGGCCAAGGCAGGTGGATCACTTGAGGTCAGGAGTTCAATACCAGCCTGACCAACATGGTGAAACCCCTTCTCTACTAAAAATACAAAAATTAGCCTGGCATGGTGGCAGGCGCCTGTAGTCCCAGCTGCTCGGGAGGTTGAGGCAGGAGAATCACCCGAATCCAGGAGGCAGAGGTTGCAGTAAGCCAAGATCATGTCACTGTATTCCATCCTGGGTGACAGAGTGATACTCCGTCTCAAAAATAAATAAATAAAAATAAAATAAAATAAAATGTAAATTTTTATATATTCCCATATTTTAAATGTGTATTACTAAGTGAAAGAAGCCAATCTAGGTTACATACTCTCTGTTCCAGAAAAGGCAACACTACGGAGCCAGTAAAAAGATCATCGGTTGCCAGGGGTTAAGGGGCATGGAGGAATGAAGAGATGGAGCACAGGGGATGTTTAAGGCACTGAAAGTACTCTGCATGATACCGTAATAGTGGATACATGTCATCATGCATTTGTCCAAACCCCGAGACTCTACACCGAAAGTAAATCCTAATGTAAACTTGGGACTGTGTGTTAATGATGTGTCAAAGTAAGTTAATCACTCGTAACAGATGTAACCCTTGGGAGCAGGCCATTGATAATGGCGAGGCTGTTCACGTGTGGGGCCACGGGGTATACAGAAGACTGCCGTACCTTCCACTAAACATTGCTCTGAACCTAAAACTGCATTTAAAAAAGAACTTAAAAAAATTAGGTTCTAACTGCAACTACACATGGATAATTTGAACCAAGCAGCAAGCATAATTCTTTCATAATGGCATGACAGCATCGTCAACATCCTTACTTTGAGTTGTATTTCATGGCACAAAATAATCCTCTTTGCTAACTGTGAGAGCCTTTTTGTGTGTGAAGATGGCGTCTCGCTGTTTTTGCCCAGCTGGTCTCGAACTCCTGAACTCAAACAGTCTTCCCACCCAGCCTCCCCAAGTGCTAGGATTACAAGCATGAGCCATCACATCTGGACAGTTTTGTAAAAATTAGAGACAGGGTCTTGCTATGCTGCCCAAGCTGGACTCAAACCACTGGGCTCAAGGGATCCTCCTGCTTCAGCCTCCCATGTAGGCCAAGATTACAGGTGCACACCACCACACCTGGTGGAAACTGATTTAAGTGGTCAGTTCACAAGTAAATATTTTTATATAATCATGACTTTTGCATCCCTGCCTAAATATTCAGTTCTGCAGACCTCAGGGCTAGAAGTGACCAAAGAAGAAAGAAGCCCTTGGCGTTTGCACCACAGGAAGGAAGGGCTCTGCCTGCTTGTAGGACTCTCCCACCCTCTTGGCTTAGGCCGGGGAGGGACTTTCTTCCCCTCCACAGGCAGCTGGGACCCTCTTCTTAGTCCCAGCTCAGTCCCCCTGCCGCAGAACAGAGCCATGGGGAGGCTCCTACCTTCTGGGCTTCCTCATGCTTCTCAAAGTTGACAAAGCCAAAGCACCGCGAGTGACCGCTGTTGTCCCTCATCACCTTCACACTCAACATCTTCCCTGTAAAGGACCAACCTGGCTCAAAGGGGAGTCTGGGAAGTCCTCAGGAGACCCCAGGAGGGCCCCTCCCCACTACCAAACTTTGGAGGGGAAGAGGAAAAACAGTGATACCCCCACTCCCTTGGGGACACACCCACCAAACTGGGAGAAGAGGTCCTGCAGGCCTTGCTCGTCCACATCCACCGGGAGGTTCTTCACGTAGATGTTGGTGAACTCCAGGGCCCGCGCCCCCAGCTCCGCCTCCCGCTCCCGTCGAGACTTGAAGTGGCCCACAAAGCTGTGGACACACCACAGTGGCTGATGGCTGTGGACAGCTACCAGTCATCAGCCACCCCCATGCCAACTCCCGCTTAACTGCTGCCCTTCTCCAGGCTTACATATCCCTCATCAGGAAACTGGGTAGAACAAAACTCCTTAGAATATCCCCAAGGCCCGGCTACCTCCAACAGCCAAGATATTATATTATGTTCCAGAGCTTGTCCCCAGCAGAAGGTTAAGAAGGTTTCATTCTTGTGACAAATGCACACATAACTACTACTATATATCAGGCAGCTGAGAGCACAGAAGAATGAGCCTGGGAGTCAAATAGACAAGGGCTTGAATCCTCACTCTGCAGTTGCCTAGCTGTGTGATCCTGGGCAAGTTACTTAACCTCTCTGAGCCTCAGAGTTCATTGCTGGAAAATTGGGACTCAAATTCTCATCATAGGGCTTTGCTTATTGACATGTATTGGGTGTACTGGGGAAGCAAGGTTAAGTGAATTAGACGCAGTCAATGCTAGTGTTGCTATGGGGGGCATTGATTAAAATCACTTAAATACAAGATTAATTTTATTTTTACTTATTATGTTTTTGACACTGAGTTTCACTCTATCACCCAGGCTGGAGTGCAGTGGTGCGATCTCAGCTTACTGCAAGCTCCGCCTCCCGGGTTCAAGCGATTCGCCTGCCTCACTCAGCCTCCCAAGTAGCTGGGATTACAGACATGTGCCACCACACATGGCTAATTTTTGTATTTTGCGTAGAGATGGAGTTTCACCATGTTGTCCAGGCTAGTCTTGAACTCCTGACCTCAGGTGATTCGCCCTCCTTGGCCTCCCAAAGTGCTGGGATTACAGGTGTGAGCCACTGCACCCAGCCACAAGATTAATTTTAAAAGATCATTTCCTAGTTCATATAAACACATCTAGGAAAGTATCCCAGATTTTAAAAATGAAAATAAAATCTGATGGTATTTTTAGCACGTTTAGCACAAAGTTGTACAAGGCACTACAATTTGAGGAAAACTGAGTGGCAAAGGTAAACTTGAGTAAATTGGAGCTGACAAGAGTATTCTTCTGAGCACTGGGAAAGCCCACCGAGATTTGTTTGACAGGTTGACTGGACCCTGCCCCGAGTAACCCTGGACAAAATGACTGTCAGTGCGTCCCCCAGCTCAAAGCCACCTTCTCTCCATGGGCCTGACCATGAGGGCTGGCCCCTCAGATGAGCAAAATAAAAATTCTGGGCAGGGAACAGCCAGAGGCAGATTCTCTCTAACATCTGCCTCTCAGTTTTCCCATCTGTGTAGTGGGGATGATATCGAAGTTAATGGTAGGATGAGAGCAAGCCAAGCATATGCCTACTTTTCTTTCCGCCAAAATCTCATGAAACAACACAAAAGGTTTAAAGAAAAAGCCAGGCGTGGTAGCTCGTGCCTGTAATCTCAGCACTTTAACACTTTAGGAGGCTGAGGCAGGAGGATCACTTGAACCCAAGAGTTCAAGACCAGCCTGGGTAACAAAGTGAGACCCCATCTCTACAAAAAAATAAACAATAAAAAAATTAGCCAGGTGTGGTGGCATGTGGTCACCTGTGGTCCCAGCTACAAAGGAGGCTGAGACAGGAGGATTACTTGAGCCAAGGAGATCAAGGCTGCAGTGAGCTGTGTTTGTGCCATGTGTATCTAGCCTGGGCTACATAGCAAGACCCTGTCACACACACATACACCCCATACTGAGAAGGCTGGAAAACAGATGAAAACACTGAGTCCATTGATGATCTGACCATTAGCCAGTCCCTCTAGAGTTTTAAAATCACCACTTCCTTTACCACTCAGAACAATCCTCTAATGCAGATTATCAGCTCCATCTTTATGTCAGGAAAGAGTCCCTGAGAGGGTGAGCAGCTGCTCTGAGGTTGCACTTCTAGGAAGGCTGCCTGCCACTCAAGTGCCTGGTGCCCATTAGCAGCTTGAGGGTAGCATCGATTCCAAGTCAGTGGTGCCATGCTTCTGTCCCTGCAGCCTCCACCCTCCCTCAGGCCCAGCCACTCACACTTTGCGGTCATTCAGCAGCATCCCGTTCATGGTGTTGATGGCCTGCTGTGCGGCCTCATGCGTCTCAAAATGGACAAAGCCGAAACCCCGGGAGCCATGCTCGTCACACACCACCTGGGCCACAGGGAGGAAGGACAGGAAGAGTACTGACAGAGGGTTCAGGTAGAAAGGAATGGCAAAGGGATCATGACCAGTCTCTGCATGCCTGCTGTGTGCATGGAAAAGGCAATCCTGCATGTTAGGGATGGGATATGGAAGCTCAGAGAGTGCCACCACTCAAGTTAACGGATTAAGGAAGGCTGGGTGTGCTGGCTCATGCCTGTAATCCCGGCACTTTGGGAGGCCAAGGTGGGCATATCACTTGAGGTCAGGAGTTGGAGACCAGCCTGGACAACATGGTGAAACCCTGTCTCTATTAAAAACACACAAAATTAGCCGGATGTGGTGGCGGGTGCCTGTAATCCCAGCTACTCAGGAGGCTGAGGCAGGGGAATTGCTTGAACCCAGGAGGCGGAGGTTGCAGTGAGCTGATATCGCGCCACTGCACTCCAGCCTGGGTGACAGAGTGAGACTCTGTGTCAAAAAAATAAAAAGAGAAAAGAGAAAACAGATTTAAGAGGGAGAACGCCCTCGCAATGAACACAGGTTTCATCTATACTGCATACCGGCTTTTGATTGTCTTCCTAAGGCAATGGGCAAAAGGGTTAGGGTCAAACTCTCATATCTGCATCCGTGTTTCTATCAAGAAACTAGAAACCACCTGGGTATTCATCAAGGGGGGCCTTGATGGTACATTCACACCAGTATTCTGTACGTGCAGAGTTGAAGAGAATGTGGTTGGTTACATGGCTGACAGTCTTGTTAAGTGAAAAAAAAAAAAAAAATCCGTTCGGGCTAAAGTAGGCATCTACACATTGGAAATTTTGAAAAAGACACATAAAATGTATTAATATTACTTTTGGGGAGTAGGGCTGAAAGAAATGGAGTCTTCTTTTTCACTTTCTTCCGTTCCACATTGTTTAAACTTTGCCAATTCATGAATTACTGCAACAACAACTCATTTCAATTTTTCTTTTTTTTTGAGGAGTTTCACTCTTGCTGCCCAGGCTGGAGTGCAATGGCACAACCTTGGCTCACCGCAACCCCTGCCTTCCAGGTTCAAGCGATTCTCCTGCCTCAGCCTCCCGAATAGCTGAGATTACAGGTACATGCCACCATGCCTGGCTAATGTTTTATATTTTTAGTAGAGATGGAGTTTCACCATGTTGGCTAGGCTGGTCCCGGACTCCTGACCTCAGGGGATCCACCCACCTTGGCCTCCCAAAGTGCTGGGATTACAAGCTTGAGCCACCACACCTGGCCTCATCTTTTTTTTTGTTTTTTTTAAAGATGCACAACATCCTATTCCCATTCTGTAACCCTCCTAACTCAGGTCAACAGGACAGAACTTGAGAACGGGGAAAGACCTTCTAGTTCATGTAGTCCCCATCCCTCTTGTTGAACTCACAAAAAGACCACTAACCCCCACTTCAAGGTGACTGTGGCTCCACTCATCCCTGTGGCTACAGGCTCAGCTCAGCTAGTGGCATTTTCTGCCTGGATAACAAGCACTGCCTCCCAGCCTAGCTTCCACACTACCACCGGGATGCTCTTTCTAAAATGTAATTCTGACCACATTCCTTCAGTCTCTAGTAGCTTCTATCCACAGAACTATATCAACTTGGCATTTGAGGCTCCCCAATGGGTCCTGCACAACAAGTCTTGCTTCCAAACCCATGCCTTGCACATACCCCTCCACCTCTCTTACTGAAACAGGGTTCTTCCACTTTCAACTCAAGCCTCAGATCGGTCATTCGGATTTAATCACATTGACTGGGTCCCCACTGTGGGTCAAGAACCTGCCAAGGGCATTACATACCTCCCTTGTTATCTATGCCACGAGAATCCTTCCAAGCACCTCTTAACCCCTGAGCCCCAGAGGGAAAATGAGAATAAATGACTTGTCCAGGATCAGCCAACAGAATTAATTCTTTGATTATTATAGTTATCACTGAGAAGCTGCAGTGTGCCAGGCACCCTTTTAAAAGGAGTATACATGTATGCAGAAAACCTAACACACAGAAAGTACGTGATAAATCTGCCATTATTATTGTGAAGAACTTAATACACAAGTGAAGAGTCTGTTTCTTCCTTTGATCCTCAAAGACAGGAAACGGCCCCGTCTCTCTGCCACAGATAACCCTTAGCGCATTACTACATCTCCTGAAATCTACCTGCTCCTCTGAGCCACAGGGTTAGCCTCCTATTGACCAAGAATTTGAGGGCCCTTATTGAGAACTTAAGGATTATGCTTGGCACACAGTAGCACTTGATGAAAGTTCTAACACATAGGCTACAAAAATTGTCCCCATCCTCCTTAGAATACCAGACACTCCAAAGGCTACAGGGTAATCGATCAACCATCCTCATAAAATCTAGAGGCAGAACACCCAGGTTTAAGTCCTCTGTTCCGGACATACTGACCTGCTATATGGCCGCTGATCCTCAACATCTTCATATAGAAAGTCAGAGAAATAATCAGAATCCTTCTCAAATGATATACATCCATTGGCTCAACAGATATTTATTGAGCACCTAATGTGTGTCACATCTTATTCTAAGTATTGGGATACAATAATGACTAAGAACAAGATCACTGATGGAACTTACATCTAATGTAAGAGAATCTTAAAAACAAGATTTAATCACTTGATTGCCATCATGGCCCCAATTAACGGCCTTCCTGTAGCCACACCCTTCATCCTATAATTTCTACTCCCCTCTCACTTTGAATGTGGGTTGGTCTTGTGACTCGCTTTGGTCAACAGAATGTAGTGAAAGTGGCCAGGTGCGGTGGCTCATGGCTGTAACCTCAGTACTTTGGGAGGTCAGGAGTTCGAGACCAGGCTGGCCAACATGGTGAAACCCACCCTGTCTCCACTAAAAATACAAAAATTAGCCAGGCATGGTGGCTCACACCTGTAATCCCAGCTACTCAGGAGGCTGAGGCAGGAGAATCGTTTGAACTCAGCAGGCTTAAACTCAGGAAGTTGCAGTAAGCTGAGATCGCGCCACTGTACTCCAGCCTGGGCAACAGAATGAGACTGCATCTCAATTTAAAAAAAAAAAATGTAGTGGAAGTGATGGTTCCAGTTCTGTATTCAGTTCTCAAGAGGCCTGGTGTGCTTCCACTCTTGTTTTCTGAGCCCCGCCATTGCCATGAGAATACCATGAGAATAGCCTGGACTAGCCTGCTGGAGGACAAAAGCCAATAGGGAGGAAAGCTGAGATGTTTCAGCCGACAGCCAGCCACTCCCTCATATACCCAGTGAGAGCTCCCACTCAGCTTTCAGTGGGCGTAGGAGGGAACCCAGTCAAGACCAGAAGAACTGCCCAGCTGAACTTTGCCCATTGCCAACTGTGGAATTACGAGCTAAATAAATGATTGTTGTTGATAGCCACTAAATTTGAGGGTGGTTACACAGCGAGAGCTGACTGATACACAGGTAATGTCTGATCATTCATGGAAGATGAAACTGAAAGAACGGCTACCATTCAGGTGCTTGCTGTTCCTGAAACTTGACTGAAAGGACCTTGTAAACTGTAAAGTGAGGTGTTGCTTGTCATCCCTCTACCAGGCAGGTAGTTGACACTGATCCACCCAAAGACGTACACCCTTCATCCTCTACCTTGCAGGAGAGGATGTTCCCAAAGGTGGAGAAGGTATCATATAAAGCCTTGTTGTCAATGGAGTCCTCCAGGTTCTTGATGAAGATGTTGCCCACACCTGACTTGCGAAGTCCTGGGTCTCGTTGGGACCACATGATGCGAATAGGCTGGCCTTTGAGCATTTCAAAGTTCATTGTGTCCAGTGCCCGCTCCGCTGGACAGAAGGAAGAGGAGAGAAATGAGCAAGTTAAGGGAATTTTCTTGCCTTGATCGCCCACCCCTCCGGGTGCTTAACTGGGAGTCAAAAAAAGAGAAAGTCATTGTCTGGGTCCCACCTGAGATAAGAGCCTGAAGGCTCAGGAAGGATAAGCTGAGAATTAAGCGTGTATGGTGCTCCCCCCACCTTCCAGTTATGATCTCATTCAACTCCCTGTAGCCACATGAGCATGGACTCCTGCCCCCATTTTACAGATGGGAAAACTGAGACTAAGAAACAGGAAAGGTCTGTGGCTGTGTCAGGTCTATTCTGGCTTCTAAAGTACACTGAGTGGATAAGAATGTCCATATGAGGTGGGTGGATCACGAGGTCAGAAGATGGAGATCTTCCTGGCTAACACGGTAAAACGGTAAAACCCCGTCTCTACCAAAAAAATACAAAAAAATTAGCCGGGCGCGGTGGCGGGGATGTGTAGTCCCAGCTACTCGGGAGGCTGAGGCAGGAGAATGGCATGAACCCAGGAGGGGGAGCTTGCAGTGAGCCGAGATCGCACCACTGCACTCCAGTCTGGGCGACAGAGCAAGACTCCATCTAAAAAAAAAAAATAAAAGAATGTCCATATGACAAGGGGTGGCAGCACTTTGAGGAAATTAAAACTCAGAGGTGCTGCAGGGCAGAGCTGAGGTTACCTATCAAGCAGTCAGGTTCTGGGGAAAGTGAACATTACCTCTCTGAGCCTGCTCCTCACCTGTAAAGGGGGAATGATGATAGTATTACCTACTTTTCCTAATAAAGGGAGATATTACCAACTACCAGGTTGTTGGAGGGACTGAAAAATAAAGAAGGTATTCAAGGTGCCTTGTTTGTAACTTTGTACCTGACACAAAATCATGTCTGTCTCAAAACAGCAGCCAATGCCCAGCCTCCGGCCACTGCTGCAGCCTGTATCCCTCCCGGGTGATACATGCGACCTGTTTCAGGGAGTCTACTAGCGCAGAGACATGGAGAGGGGCTGTGGGGAACACAGTGGAGCAAGTTTCAGGAAGCTCGGCTTCTCCACCTAGTCTTATCATAAATACACGGAGACAAAATCCTTCTCTCTGCAGCGAGGTTTCCATCTATGAGGTGGGGCAAAAAAACCAAGTCCCACTTCATTCACAGGGCTTGGAGGAAGGGAGGAAGAGAGGAAGAGGCAGGAGGTGGAGCAAAGCAAAGCAAAGATAAAGGTGTCCAGGAATCCAGCTCAGTAAGGGGCGGGGAACCGGCCCGGCGGAACAACCCCTTCCCCAGCAAATCGCTCACTCAGGGAACCGCCTGGTCCACCCAGGCGGCCTGGCGCAAAGGATCCTTCTAGTGGACTCCACTGGGGCGGGCTTTTTTTGGGATTCTGGAGTCTTAGGTCAGAATGTTAAAGGCACTATTTTTGTTGCTGTTGTTGTTGTTGTTTTTGAGATAGAGTCTCGCTCTGTCGCCCAGGCTGGAGTGCAATGGCGCGGTCTGGGCTCACTGCAACCTCTTGCTCCTGGATTCAAGCGATTCTCATGCCTCAGCCTCCTCAGCAGTTGGGAGTACTGGCGCCAGCCATCATGCCCAGCTATTTTTTGTATTTTTAGTAGAGACAGGGTGTCGCTATCTTGGTCAGGCTGGTCTCGAACTCCTGACCTCAAGTGATCTGCCCTCCTCGGCCTCCCAAAGTGCTGGGATTACAGGCGTGAGCCACCGCGCCCGGCCTTATTATTTTTTTTTTTAAGGTTATCACTTAAGAGCGTTTACGAGGTAACAAGTGATACAAGAGATAATTTCATAGACACCAGTTCTCCATTCTTTATGCTATCGGAGAATAAGCCTTAGCCCCATTTTGCAAATGAAAAGGTGCGGAGGGTGAAGCCTTGCCCAAGCTCACACCCTAGTGGCAGAACGCCCTTGAAACCCGGTGCTCTTATCTTCATCCCTCCACTCTCAACAGAAGTGCAAGGGGCAAGCTCTAATCAATGGTATCAGCTCTGAGAAAGCGGCCTTGCGGCCTGAAGGCAGCGGTTTTTCAGAGCCCGTGCTGGTAGAGGCGCCCAGTGCGGATCTCACGTAGCACTGGGAAAGGCCTGAGCCCAAGGCTGGGCTCTCCTGCCTCCCCGCTCACCAGCTGTGTCGCCTTGGGCATCTTCCTCACCAGGTGCTTTGAATCTCTCATCCTCACAAGCACTCTATAAGGCGGCTAGGACCCCCAATTTCCAGACAGGCATCTGAAGCTCAGAATGGTCGAGTAACTTGCCCAGAGTCACACAGCTGCTGGGCTTCTATCTCTGGTCCGCCTGACCCCTCAAAGCCTGTATCTGTTTTCACTCGGCCCTAATCTCTCTCCTCTGCAGAGGAATAGCAGTAAGCCACACTAATTACCAATTCCCGTCTCAGGGGCCAGGCCTCTGCCAACGCCTTGTTATCTTTGAGCCTCTGTTTCCCCGGCTGCAAAGTGTAAGATTAAAGCGCAAGCGGCCGAGTTCCGGCTTCTGTCTGTCCGCCTGCCTGTCCATCGGTCCGTCCCCTCCCGCCCCATTCCCGGGGCTCACCGTCCGCGGGCTGCTGGAAGTTGATGTAGGCGTAGCCCAGCGAGCGCCGGGTGGCCACATCGCGGCACACGCGGATAGACAGGATGGGGCCGGCGGGAGAGAACTTCTCATAGAGCATGGCCTCGGTCACGTCGGGGTGCAGATCGCCCACGTAGAGCGAGGCGAGCGGGTAGCCTGAGCCGCTGGCGTTCATGGTGGGCAGGGGGCCGGGGCTGCGGGGCAAGCAGGAGCCGGGTCACCCAGCGGCCCCGCGCTCAAGCGGGCGGGAGCCCTCCTTGCCAGGCGCGGGCCAGCCCCTTCCCTTTACCGCCCCCGGGTCCCTGCGCACCAATCGTGGGCGCGCTCGGACGCCCCTCCCCGGGATCCCTCCTGGGCCCGCACCCCACCTGCGAGCACTTGGGGATCTAAAAGCTACAGGTGGGGACACCTCTGACCCCGCCCTGGGAGGCGGGAGAAGCCTTCAACCTGGACTTGAGCAGGGCTGCGCGCACTTGAATGGAGCTATCAAAACCTCCCGTTTTAAAAGGGCCGGGACTGGGCCGAGGAAAGGACGCAAGGGATTGGGTTCTAATCCCGGAATAGGTCATCGTCTTTCTGAACCCGTTTCCCTTCTCTGTAAAATGGGAATGACTCCCTCCTGACAAGAATGAAAGGAGACCCAGACCGCGCTTTTTGCGTTAATTCCGAACAGGCCACTGTTTCAAAGCTTGTGTAGAGAATTTTATCCTGCTCCATTGAAGATGTCTTCCTCCAAAGACCCTGATCCAGTCCCACCGTTTCTCACCAAGGACGGAAATGGCTTTGAGAGGTGAGAACTGGAGACCACTAAGGCCTTTCTTGGTACTGGCTCATATTACCAAGACCCCTTCCTGGGATATTCCCTGTCCCTCTGCTAAGCCATTACACATCCATTATACCAGGGAGGTTCACTGAGTTACTTGTGGCTCAGCCTAAATGCAGACAGTTGGGACCTAATAGCAGAGCAAGACCTCAACAGCAAGACTGTCAATCTGAGCTTGCAGCGTCACTCTATCTGTGGTATAGGGACATTAAAAACAAGTCAACTACTCCATTGAACACCAATACTTCACTTTTCCTCTGACAGGACTTTCCTGGTCTCACTGATCCAACAAAGCAGGTAGGCCCCCACTAACCTTTGGTTGAGTGTGGCTTCAACAGGTGGAACTAGGGACAGAAGGTGCCCATCTGGCTGTCCAGCCTCAGAGTGGCAAGGAAGCACTAATTCTAATCTTGGGCTAAAAAAAGACCTCTCTATCCTGATATTTTTCTCTCCTTGTGGTAGTGTGGATGTTTCCAGAAGGGGCAAATCCCATGAGGAACCAGCTCCGCAGGCCACCATACAGTATGAGGACAGGTGAGACGCCAGCTTGGTGATGACCAAGCCTTATGCAACCATAGGTTACATATTTCACTGGCTTGGTTGTATCTCAGGGTTAAAAAATGGGGAAGGGATGGGGGGCTTGAATACAATGCAAAATAACTGTCCATACGAAATCTTAGAAGTCACTAAAGAGGACCTAATACATGCATGGTTTGGTGTGGAAGGTAGAGAGATACCAAGTATTAATGGTAATTTCTTCCCCTGTATAACACCTTGACTTCTGGTCCTAAATAATGAAATAAAACTGTTTGCCTATTCTTAAAGAAAAGAGAGTTAAGTGTGATCAGAATAGTTAGCTAGGTCTGGTAGCAACACAGATGGTGGTGACACATCAATTCACAGGCAACTAACTGATAAAATTTTTATTTCACTTTTGAATTTTTACACTTTTCCTGATTATTCTGTGTAAGGTGAAACTAGAACTGTTTAAAAGACATACACAAATCTAGTACATCAATAACCAGGGATTTTTCTTTTTTGCTATACTATTTTCACAACCACGGGTGTGCTTGCTAGGCAATATAACCATCACAGAAGCAAACATTAGGCAGAATACTGGTAAGGAAAAACAAAGCAAGAAAAGAGCTACCAGATATACAGACAGGCTTGGTTCCACATTCACTACTGCATTTTCAAGCGCCAAGTATTAACTGCACATTTTTGTTCAGCTAGAAAGGAGGGATTTTTTTTTGTTTTTTTTTTTCTCTTTTTTTGGTTTGTTTTAAATCAGTGCATAAATTTTTCTTTTCTCATTTCAGCAGATGGACAAACAGATGGACTCTACAGCTAGGTGGAATATTAAAGGTAGAGGGGTGATCCTGTGAGACTGACAGGCCTGACTATTCTCAATTCTCTCCACTGCAGTATCCACGCAACTTCCCTGACTATAGGGTCTCCTTAAACACATCTGAGCGCTGAGCTGGATGAGTGCACTTGAGAGACCTGGTGACAGGCACAAAGAGCATGATCAGGGCCAGCCTCAATACAGGGAGGAATCATGGATATTTAAAAATACTTTTTTGATTCAGATCCTGGTATGACTGAAGAGCAACACCGTGTTGAGAACTGGAGGAAGACAGAGCTCTGGTGCCAGAAGCTCTTCTCAACTCTTTAAAGCCAGGCTTGCTCACCAAGGTGCTCAGTAATGTCTCTCACCCCTGCCCATATATAGCATTAAAAAGTGAACAAAAGACAGATAAAGATAGAATTCAAAAAAGAAAAAAAGTAAGGAAGCAGAGGGACAGAAACTTAGAAGAGAAAACCAAGGTCAATAGTCAAAAAGGATGGTGGGAATGAATGTATAGATTTCAAAATTTAAAAGCCCCGAGCTAGGAAGAACCTGAAAACTGAGTACTCCTCAAGTGAAAGGCAATCTCTGCAGAACGTCATTCCTTTGTTTTTGTTTTTGTAGATGAGGTCTCGCTATGTTGCCCAGGCTGGAGTGCAGTAATTCACAGGTGCAACCATAGGGCACTGCAGCCTTAAACTCCTGGGCTCAGGTGATCCTCCTGCCTCAGCCTCCCAAACAGTTGGGACTAGATGCACGCACCACCACGCCTGACTCAGGACATCATTCTTAAAGGTATTATCCAGGAAAACAGATAAGGTCATTCATAAAACACACGGCTTTTTTTCTTTAGCTCAGTGTTAACAATGAAAATAGATTCCACTATTGAAGCACAAGTTGCAAATTCGTAACATAGTGAACATACTGCTGTAGGAAAGGGGGTTCAGTCGGGTGTGTTATATGAGCACTTGAACTTTTCAAGGTGTCATAAGCCAGTTATCTGCCACAAAGAATTTCCATTTCAGGATTCGGGTTTCCTCAGAGGAAGACACTGTGGACATTTGTGGTAATGAACTTTTAAGTGGCAACAGCCCAAACAGATCAAATGTCTTTAAGCTCCGAACAACGGCCGCATTACTGAGAATTACCATGAAACTCAAATGCCAAATGATGTGTGTCTCACTCCAAGTTCCAGCATCACAATATAATCTCTATAACTTTCTGTACAACTTTACAATGGAATTGTATTTCAATGATTATTTTGATATCAGATTAAACTTTCCAAAAAGTTACACATAATTCACGTCTATTTTTTCTACCAGTAAGAGTTCTGCTAAATTACAAAACCCCATAATCACAGTGTTCAGTTTTTAAAAAATTAAACACACAGTAATCCTGTCAATGTTAATCAAAATCAAAACTTCGGAATGCCGTGGCATTTATGTGACCAATCTGAGTTTTAGATACAAATACCAGCTGTTTATCCCGTGAACCATTTTTCCTAGGCTGAGGCTGTGAAAAATCGAAAGTCGACGTACGATTCTTTTTTTTTTCTTTTTTGTTTTTATCGCACAAGGGATATATGTGGAGGGTACAGAGTGACACTGAACAGATCACGAAGCACGAGAGACATTAGTTCTCTCCCTCCCCAGCATCTCCTTCGTCTCCCTGGTTTTCCGATGTCCACAGCTGCAAGAGAAAGAAAGTATGATCAAAGCAGGGCTACTAAAAGTTGCCTACGTAGGTGGTCCAGTATGTATAATCTTATCTCAACAGGTGAAAATTATTCCTGTGTCACTGCAGACAGGGATGACTGCAAAGGTCAAAACTTCAGCAGTCATTTATAACAAATTTAACAACTTAAAACTGTATATTTAACAGGGCACAAATCCCCTCTTGAAGATAATAGTGAATGATTAATAAATAGGTGAATAGGACAGAGACTATAAACCCTGTGGAAGTAGTACTTACAGTGAGATTGTCCCTAAGTAACTGCATGATCAGAGTGCTGTCTTTATAAGACTCTTCATTCAGTGTATCCAATTCAGCAATTGCTTCATCAAACGCCTAAAACAAAGAGCCTTTAGCAAAGAATTCACAAGTTCTCTGGAGCTAGTTTAACCCACTTTTTTTCTGCTAAGTGAATATAATTTATCTTCTTGTACAGTACTTTGGAGGAACCTAGGCTATTATTACCCTGTCTGTTAGCTGTTTCCAGCAAAAGTATAAGGTATGTTTACAAAGCACCAACCAACAATGACAGAAATTCCGAGATAAGAACTTTGCTATACCTAATAAGCAAGCAGTATTACTGCTAACCCTAGCACAGTCATTCTGGGCAAACTCATGGTATTTTTTAATTACCAAAGACATTTCTAGCAATCTTCTATTTAAAATTATTTTTAAAAAAATTTTTGTTTTAAACTAGAACCCAAAAGGTCTGGATACAAGGGATACAGTGAAACTCCCATCACTAAATCTGATTTAAGTGATGAACTTTAAGGCACCTTTCCCAAATAAAAATTTTTTTAAAAAGGTGTGTGCATGTTGAGAGACTACAAAAAAAATGTAGAAAAGGCTAACGGAAGAATATGGAAGGTAATCCAACACACAACAAGAATGTGGTGTGTATTTCTTTTATACAACTATAATCTCAAATCTTGGTACAAGAATGACAATGTATAACCAAGGCCCAAAGCTTGGCAAGAAACAACTAACTACATTCACCTGGAACTTTCTACAGCCACCCCACAAAACACAGTAATCAAACAAAAGTCAGCAGTAGGTATTGAGAATGAATTTAAAAAGTAACAGATCTGTATTTATCTCATAAAGGATACACTCCCACCCCTAGAAAATCTTTCAAAAGAAGTCCAAGACAATGAGTATGTTCAGGAATAAAAAGAAGTTAATAACACAAGCACTGTTTTGCTATGGTTAGATAGCACAAAGGGTCTTTCTCACCGTTTTTGCCAGGCTGCAGGCCTTTTCAGGAGAGTTTAGAATCTCATAGTAAAAGACTGAGAAATTAAGTGCCAGACCAAGTCGAATTGGGTGTGTAGGCTGCATTTCTTTCTTACTAATTTC